TCAGACTGGCCTTTCCAGAGGGCACTGGCTGCTCTGTGTGGACCCAGGGGAGCAGGGGAAGAGGAGGCAAGGAGGCAGTTGGGAGGCCACCACAGCAAATCAGGCAATGGCTTTCGGTGGCCTGGAAGCTTGGCAGAGGAAAGATGTATTCTGGAAGTCATGTGGAGGTAGAGCTGAGGAGATCTGCCAGTGGATTGGAACAGGGTGTGAGAAAGACTGGAATTAAGGGCTCTAAAGGTTTTCAGAAGCTGAGAGTTGGCTGGAGGAGCAGACATGGGAGAAGTTGGGAGTCTGATTTTGCCCTTGTCGTCCGAGATGCTTACGAGCCACCCTGTGGCTATGTTGAGCTGGTGATGGACCTATGACTGGAGATCAGCAGAGAGGCAGGCATAGGCTGGAGACACAAATTTAGGAACCATTAGTATATGCATGTTATTTAAAGCTCAGACTGGAGGAGACCACCTGGGAAGTGAATGTAGATCAAAGAACCAGACAGAGGGCCAAGCTCTGGACATTCCCACGGTAGAGAAGTTGGTGGAATGAGGAGGAAGTAGCCAAAGACTAGGTAGGGGCAGCCAGTGAGGCAGGAGCAGAATCAAGAGAGCAGCCCTGCCAGTCGAGTGAAAAACCGTTTAACTAAGAAGAGAGTTGTAAGCTGCCAAGTGGTGCAGAGAAGGAAAGGTGAGCACCTACAACGTGCAGGCACTGGGCACACAAGGTTGGGCCAGAGTGCCAGGCACTTAGCATGAGTTCGTGCTGTTTTTTTGGAATGAACCTAATCCTTGCTTCAAACAACTTAGTTTGGAGGAAGAGCCTGAATGTGCAAAGGCACCTAACCCAGCTGGGAACCTTGTCTGGGAGGCAGGGCTTCTTCAGGCGTCTTCAATGGCTGAGAAGTACTCAAGTGGATTTCTGGGTGCAGGCCCTCTCTCTCTCTTCTGGATTTTCAGGTTCCTCTCCTCCAGGCTCTCTAGGAAGCAATCACACTCGCTAAGTGAGAAGGAAACAGAGGAAGCGAACGATTGCCGTCTCTGATCAAAGAACAGCACCATGGAGCCAGAAAAGACCTGGGGAAAAGCAAGAATGGGACAGCTACCTCTAAAAGCAGTTTAGAATTCATTCCATGTTTAGAAAATTCTGTCTGAGGAACTTGGTTTTCCTAATGACAGTCTGCTGGCAGGCACAGATGGCCTCAAGAGGTCGCCCTTTCCCTGAAATGCATTTGGTTTAAAGGGAGGGGCCAAAACATGAGCGCTCCTCCGGAAGCCGGACACTAATCACCTAAGGCCAGTACCAAATTTGGCAAAAAATTTCCTTAAACTTTTAAGAAATCAAAGTGTCCCTTTATCAATGATATGGTTTATCAGTTTAAAAAGTGAAAAACCACAGGACAAGGTTGAGTAAACATGGATTGTGAAGAGTAAGGAATGCTTCAATCTCAAGGTGTTTGGTATTTAGGTCGTGACTGTCTTACCTTGTTGTGTGACTACCTTACTAAGCATTCTAATTTGAAGAGCAACTTCTGTGAGGATAATTTTTAATTATAGCTAACATTTATTAGGTGTTTAGTGTGTTCTAACCCTTTTTAGATATCAAGTTACATAATTCTCACCCAACCGTAAAAGGAAGATACTGTTATCCTAAATACTAATAATCCTTTGAAACAGGTACTTTTACAGTTGAAGAGTTTGTGGCTTAGGGAAATTAACAATTGGTCCAAGGTCACACCTTGTTAGGGGCAGAACTGGGATTTAAACACATACCTAATTCCACAACTACCTACCTTATACCTATATATATATAGGTACTGGATTCATGCATGTGTAAATGCTATTAAGAAAGAGTTTCTTAATTGGAAAACATACAGTGATTCTTTGTCGTTGTTTACTTATTTATTTTGAGAGAGAGCACACATACACGTGGGAAAGGGGCAGAGACAAGGAGAGAGAGAACCCTGAGCAGACTCCACACTGTCAGCACGGAGCCCGAAGCGGGGCTTGAACTCACAAACCATGAGATCATAACTTGAGCCAAAGTCAGATGCTTAACCAACTGAGTCACTCAGGTGCCCCCATACAGTGGTTCCTAACCAGAAATGAGTCAGATCTGTCTGAGAAGCTTTCTTATTTTTTTTTAATTAATGTTTACTTTGGGGAGAGACAGAGAGAGCGCAAGCAGGGGAGGGGGAGAGAGAGAGAGGGAGACACAGAATCTAAAGCAGGCTCCAGGCTCCGAGCAGTCAACAAAGAACATGATGTGGGACTTAAATGCAAAAACTGAGAGATCATGACCTGAGCCGAAGTCAGATGCTTCACTAACTGATAAGGGTTTATCTGAGGAGTTTTAAAGAGAATAAAATTACCAGAGCCTTTTCCCAGAACAACCTATCATTGATTTGGGGTTGGGGAGGGGGGCTCTGGGATCTGTTTATGTTTTTTAGTTTTTTATTTATTTTTTAATGTTTTATTTATTTCTGAGAGAGAGAGAGAGCGAGCAGGGGAGGGTCAGAGAGTGGGAGACACAGAATCTGAAACAGGCTCCAGGCTCTGAGCTGTCAGCACAGAGCCCGACGTGAGGCTCGAACCCACGAACCGTGAGATCGTGACTTGAGCCGAAGTCGGACGCTTAACCGACTGAGCCATCCAGGTGCCCCTGTTTATGTTTTTAAGTTCAAAAGGTGTTCTGTTTAAATCTTATGTGTACCACCCTTGGGACGGAGCCACCAGAGGTAGCTGCAAGGATGAACAGCCTCTACATTTATCAGGTGGAACAGCTCAGTAGGACACAGCAGCCCCCCAGCCTTACAGTAGGATTATGGTGATTTGCCCAGTGTTTCACTACAAAGAGTATTGAACCTGGGCAATTCAAACCCCTTTAACTTCCACTTTGAGCCATTCTCCCCTCTCCCCTTGAGAGCAGAGTTGGGAAGAAACGTATGATTCTCCAGAGAGGTCGGTGACAAGTGGCAAAAGCAGAGCTCCCTGAGGTCGGCAGTGAGGCATATTCTTAGAAGGGAATTTGTCAGTCAGATCCATTCACTGGCTGGACGGTGAGTCAAACACCTAGACATGCAGTCTTTACCACTGCTACTTGCTGCCTGTCAGCTCGGCAGCTTGGTGCCGGTGAGCTCAGAGGCTGGGTGTTTCTGCCTGGGGGTGAAACGTGGACCCAGATGGGGCTCTTTAACAGTGAAGGAACCAGTAAGAACTGGAGGCAGCTGGGCTGAAGGGAGAGAACATGTTCTGTCCATTTCTGAAACAAGAACAAATCTTCCACAGTGACTTCAAGTGGCCCGAGTTATCGTGGGATTCGGGGTATGTCAGATAAGTTTGAAGTCGGATAATAGTCCGGTAGTTCTCAGACGCCCTCTGGGCTTCCTTTTTAAGTGATTTCTATCCTCCCCCCTCTCCGTATCTCTACATCTCCCCCCCCCCCCCCGTTCCTGGTGTCTCCTACCTTTCCTAGAATTACTCTGTGCTCCGGTGAACCCTGGGCTCCAGGGATTTCCAGTCATTAGTCCCGGCCACAGCTTCAGGTCATGGAGATTCATTTGTCCCTTTCACTGGAGTTTGGTGGGAACCTGAGTGCTGGGAATCCGCCCGGGGGCCTCTGGTTCTGCCCCTGCCCCAAGGGCTTTCTGAAGTCTGGCCTCCCAGGCCCTGAGGACACCAGAGAAAAAAAGAGCTTGGAAAGGGGATATTTTTAAAAAATCATGAATCTTGAGTATTGCCGAGGCAACCTCATTCCAAATAACCAGCGACCCTGTGCCTCAGAGACAGGAAAGACAGGCTCCTCGCCCCTCAGAGAAGAGGGAAAGGGAGCCATCAGTGGCTTTTCCAGGCTCTTTGCAAGGTGTTCCCAGGGGTGCAGAGGGGGATTGGGGGTTGTGCATGAGCCCTGGACTCGGATTTGCTCCATCTTCCAGAATCTGTTTCCAGAACCTCACTTCGTTTCCTGAGTTCCCTCCTCTGCTTTCAAAAGCATATGTGAAACCATGCCCGTTCCTTTCTCTTTAGGTCACCGGATTCCTTTATGGGGCTGGCAGCGCGGATAGCCCTGGGGCCTGTTAGGACGTGTGAGTGGCGGTGGGGCTGAGATTTGCCAATCGCTCTGCTCTGGGGGATTTTAAGTGTTCCAGGACTGGGTGTTCCTCTAGTCCTCCTTTCCCCCCCCTTCCCCGATCACCCTGCCCATTCCCTTCCTGCAGACTCCAGCTGGGGATACTGAAGGTGGAAGGGAGCTCATACCCAGGGGAAGAAAAGCCACCAAATTGTCCCAGCTGCCTACACTTAATTCTCCGCTGCCCTTCCTTGCCTCTCCAGCCACCCAGCTGGGTCTGGAGCACTAGCCCAATTTGAAACACCCCTCCCACGTTAAAGGAGGCTGGGCTGGCCAGGGGGTTATTTTGGGAGCAGCTTCAGAGATCCAATGGCCTTGTTAGGGCAACACTGACCTTTCCGTCCCAGGAGGAGGGCAGGATCGGAGAGGGGCGGGGCAGCGGCTGGGAGATGGACAGCCCCACACACCCACTGGGTGGAGAACGGGGCCAGCCGGCTGCAGGAATTCAGCCTCGGGCTGGGGGCTGTCACCAAGGAGGAATTTCTCCTCTTTGAAACAGACTGGGGACCCCTCCACCCCACCCTTTGCACTGTACTTCTTAAAGGGATCACACCGTTTTCCTTTGACTCCAGGGAAGCCAGACTTGGGACGCTCTATGGAGACTTTGAATCTTGCCCTCCTGCTTCCTTCCCAACTGGCAGCCTTCCTCTGGCCGGTTGAGTGGGGGCCTCCCAGGCATGGCACTGACCAGCCGACCCAGTGCTGACTTGGCTTCTGGGCTCGTTCAAGCTCCGGTGGCATCTTGCTTTCCCCCTCCTGGGGCACAGTGGTGAGTCAGGGGCGCCCAGCCCTGAGTGTGCTCGGAGAGCGTCGCTGGCACCCCCCATCGCCCTCTCTCCCCCAAGCTGGAGGACGGTGAGGCTGTCCGGGGCTACGATGAGATGAGTGGGGGCCGCTTTGACTTTGATGATGGCGGGGCGTACTGCGGGGGCTGGGAGGGGGGGAAGGCCCACGGACATGGACTGTGCACGGGCCCCAAGGGCCAGGGCGAATACTCAGGCTCCTGGAACTTTGGCTTCGAAGTGGCGGGCGTCTACACCTGGCCCAGCGGGAACACCTTCGAGGGATACTGGAGCCAGGGCAAACGGCATGGGCTGGGCATAGAGACCAAGGGACGCTGGCTCTACAAGGGCGAGTGGACGCACGGCTTCAAGGGCCGCTACGGAACCCGGCAGAGCAGCAGCAGCGGTGCCAAGTATGAGGGCACCTGGAACAACGGGCTGCAGGATGGCTACGGCACAGAGACCTATGCAGACGGAGGTGAGCCCGATCTGGGGCCTGCGGAGCTCGTAGGGGCGGATGAGTGAGGGAGACTGGTGGAGGTTGCGAAGAGGGAGGGGCAATATGACACAGAATCAGAGGAGCCAGGACACTATTTGCTGTGTGGCGCTGGGCAAGTTGCCCTACCTCTCTCAGAATCAATTTCCTTCTTAGTAAAGGTGGGGCCAATAACAGGGCCATTGAGAAGACTGGCAGCAGTGTTTAGGACAAGACCTGATGTATAAATACACACTCCACATGCATCCAGTAAAACCTAACTACTACTGTTTGCGTGCTAGGATTACAACCAACCAGGGAATATACTTCGGCTTGTGCTCAACTTTGCCATGAAAATTATTTTCAAGCAATAGATCATTAAGTGTTCATTCATTCACCCATCCATCTGCCCACTCATCCATCCAGCCAGCCAGCCACCCACCCATCCATCCACCCACCCACATATCAGACCATCCACCCATTCATCCATTCACCCACCCATCCAATCACCCATCCATCCATCCATCCATGCACCTATCAAATCATCCACCAATCATCCATCCATTCATCCATTCGTTTAGTGCATATTTCTGTGGTACCTCCTATTTGCCGGGTATTATAAAAAGAGTTAGATAAAAAGAGGAATAAGATACAGCCCAAGGCTTCAAGGATGGGCTTTAGACAAGCCATTATACAGGAGTAGGTACAGAGTGCTGGGTCAGAGAAGTTAGATTTGAGGAGGTCAGGGACTGCTTTAGAAGAGGTGACATCTGAGCTGGATCTTGTTGGGAAAACTGCTTTAGAGAGGGTGTAAGTGGGGGAGAGGAATGAGTAAGAAGCTCAAAAGCATGAGCGTGCCCGGTGGGTTAAAGGAGATGGAGAGGAATTTTCTGTGGAAAACAGCAGTGAGGAGTGGCAGAGAAGATACCATCACATCATCCACTGGGTATGACTACACGTATCACTTAGTTGAGCCTCAGTTTCCTCATCCACAAAATGCGTTTTAGAATGTCAGTGCTGCTCAAAATGTGGTCAGTAGACAGGCAGTATCAACATCATCTCTCCACCAATTCAGAATTCAAAATGAGGGGCCGCAGCTAGACCTTCTGAACTGAATTTGAATCTTGAGGGTGGACACGGGCATTTGGTTTAACAAGCCCACCTGGAAATTTTCACATACATTAAAATTTAAGAAGTAATGCTTTAGCTCAGGTGCTTGCAAACGATAGATAGCGGGCCAAGCCAGCCAAGCTGCCTGTGTTTGCACAGCTTGAGAGCTAAGTGTGGTTTTACATTTTCAAATATTCGAAAAAAAATCTAAAGAAGAACACTACTTGGTGACATGTGAAAATTGTATGAAAGTCCCCACATAATATCCTTTTGGCCTACAAAGCCTATACTATTTACTATTCAACTATTTACAGGAGAATGGGCTGGCTCCTGCTTTAAATGGCCCTTTAGTTTCCTTCCAGCTCAGGATAATTCTATGAAGTCTCCGTAACATGCCCCATTGGGAAGAGGAGCTGACACAGATAACTCAGATAACTCAGAACTATATATCATCTGTTAGGCGCATTTGTAGTATATTATATCACTGTGACAGAGGGTGGGCAGTGGACAGTCCCAGAGTGGGTTTGGGGAGGGGGCAGGAAGGGGCGTGAGCCAGCCCAGGGCAGAAGTTGTGCTCAAGCTGAGGCTGGTGGGCATACATAGAGGGGCCTCACGTACAGGACAGGCTCCCGACTGGCCTGCCCATTGGTGAGTACTGGCGAGCACCCGCCCTCCAAGGCGTCTGTGTGTTAATGAGGTTGTGTCCCTGGAGTTTCCGCGGGTGCAGTGGTGGCTACACAGCACTGGATGGAATTGGACAGCGCTGAGGACAAATTCTGGCTCCACACTTCCTAATTTGGTGACCTTCAGCCATTTGCTGAATCTCTGCAATTCGGTGCAGTTCAATTCACTGGATGTTTATGCTGGATGCTGCGCTGAGCACTGGGGACAAGTAGAGAGCCGGCCCCAGCTTCTCTGGCTACAAGAGGGAGATGACCCTTGAGTGCTTGCTGGGCGTCAGGGCAAGCAGCAGAGCAGTGCACGGTGTGCCAAATGTTCCTTCCCTAAAACGTCTTAAAGGGGGAAACCTCTTCATTCACGCATTCATTCATCCATGCAGCCAATACTATGGGGCACCGGTCGTGGGTCCAGCACCATCCTACAGCAAGTTCCAGGAGCCGGGGCAGCGGGCAAGCAAAGTTATGAACAAAAGAATAGCAGAGAAGGAAGAGGGTGACTTTTTGGATAGTGTGGTCTGGGAAGCAGGGTGGGAAGACTAGGGAGAGAGTAACGGCTTCCAGGAATGATGGTCACAAAGGCCCTGAGGAAGACAGGACTTGGCATGTCTGAGGAGCAGCAAGAACGCCAGGGTGGCAGGAATAGCGTGGAGGGGAACAGGCAGGGGGTGACGCTGGAGCTGTCGGTGTAAGCCAGGTCACGTAGGCATCGCAGGGCCCTGGGCTTGATTCTGGGTGTTGCGGGAGCTCTTCAGGCTGGGTAACTGGGAGACCTGTTCCTCTGGCTTGTCAGAGGCCCAGACTCTTCCGAACGAGACAGTCCCACATCCAGGGGCCCTGGAAACCTCATAGATCTCTCCCAAGCCACACACGAGGTGCAACTCTCCAAAATTAGATGTGGCTGCTGCTTCGGAAAATCTCCTTAATCAACCTGTCATCAGTTCCCCGAGGGTTTGTTAAGGACCTGCCCTTTGCCCCATCCTGGGTAGTGCTGAAGAGAATGTGGACAAGTAAGATCCTGCGATTAGAGACGGCTGGGAGTCAGGCAGCCCTGGGTTATTACCTTGGCTCTATCCTATTATTTAATCTCTTGGAGCCTTAGTTTCCTCACCAATAAAATGGACTTATGCTAATCTCTCGTAAGATTTCTCATGGGATAAACAGGTACTCAATAAATGGTAATTGTTGTAATTACTATTCACTTTCATGAATTCATTCAATAAACATGTATTCAGTGATTATTATGAAGCCAGCACTATACTACACTGGTGGTGGGAGGGAGGAGTATAGAAATGAACAGAATGGAGAAGGTCCTTATCTTCCAGAGAATCTAACAAGAAATCATACTATAGTGCGTTGGGTGCTAGGCAGGAAAGTGCTGGGAACTAAGGGAGGAAGAGGCAGGTAACTAATCAGACTGAGGCATTCAGGAGGGCTTCCTGGAGGAAGTGGCAAGCCGGGCTCTGAAGTATGGAGTGAGTCAGGTGACAGGGGTGGGAGATGAGTGCCCCAGGTGGAGGGAACAGTGCACGTAAGTCAGGAGGTCCAGAACTGACTGCCACCCAGGAGATAAAGCTGAAAGTTGCATCTCTTCCCCAGTTTTAGGAAATACTGATCAAAGGGACAATATGTTCCATTTCTTCCAGTCTCCACCTTGTCTTGCCATCAAATGTTGCAGGTGACTGACTCTTCTAAACCAAAGGAGGGGCACCTGGGTGGTCAGTCGGTTAAGTGTCCAACTCTTGATTTCAGCTCAGGTCATGATCTCACGGTTCATGAGTTCGAGCCCTGCATCAGGCTCTGAGGCTGAGCATGGAGACTGCTTGGGATTCTCTCTCTCCCTCTCTTTCTGCCTCTCCTCTGCTCACTTGCTCTCTCTCTCAAAATAAATAAGTAAACATTCAAAAAAATTTATAAAAATAAATAAATAAACCAAAGGAAACAACAATTTTCCAAACTGGATATACTGACCCATTACTAAGTGGTAAAATCAATTCAGTGGGTCATGACCTGCATTTCTAAAAATGAAAGAACAGGGGTGCCTGAGTGGCTCAGTCAATTAGGTGTCCAACTTCGGCTCAGGTCATGATCTCACGGTTCGTGGGTTCAAGACTTGCGTCAGGCTCTGTGCTAACAGCTAAGAGTCTGTAGCCTGCTTCGGATTCTGTCTCCCTCTCTCTCTGCCCCTCTCCTGCTCACTCTCTCTCTCTCAAAAATGAATAAATGTTTAAAAAAAATAAAAACGAAAGAACAGAACAGAAAATCAGAGTGTCTCACAGAGGATAAGAAAGCATTGTTTCCTGAAATGTTTGTTCAGCTGAAGATACATATACATATATAACGTGTGTGTGTGTGTGTGTGTGTGTGTGTATAAAATTGTCTTTACATGCATCATGTATTTCTTACACGATGTGGGTAAAAATGCATTTCCTACTGCAGGTCATGGTCAAAAACATTGGAAAATCACTATTCTAAAGTGACTTGTTGACATGGAACCTTCATCCAAGCCGCTGCCATTCCCACGTCCACAGACTCTCTCTCTCCTCCATGCCTGTCACTTCAGCTGGGGGTTATTCCCAGGGTAATTCCCCCGGGAAGGGGAAGATGGAGAAGGCAAGGTGCTCCAGGGTCCCGAGCCTTGCTATAAACTTCCTGGCACCCCTCCCCCACCTACAGCCCTCTTCCTGCCCTGGCCATATATAGCAAAACTAAAAATAGCCCTGGCCATATACAGCAAAACTAAAAATAGCTGCTGATTTAAAGCTCCAAAGCAAGCATACACCAGGGCCTTAAGTAGTAATGCTCCTTTTGACGGCCTGGCTGTCTCCACCCCAGAGACCCACAGACTCCAGGACTGGAGGGGCCATTGAGGATCTTTGCTTTCTGAGGTTCTGGGGCCCGTGCCTTGGCCTCAGAGGCCCACCAGGGTGCAGGCAATATGTGTGCATATGAGCGTGGACTATCTGTGTTTGTCCTCAGAGAGCCACAAGATTCTCAAAGTGATCTGGCACTCAAATAAGTTCTAGAACTACTTACTCATCTAGTCAGTAATCCCCGCTCCCAAATGTGCAGTGGAAAAATCAGGACCAAGGTTGACTTTGTTCATGAAACCAATAGTAATAATAATAGTTAACATGTTTGGTGGGCTTACTATGTATGTGCCAGGTGCTGGGCTTGGCATGGGACATGCGGTGTTATTTAAACCTTCACAACAAC